GTCATCCGGTGGGGCTTGTATGTTGCTGTGAGGCTTGAGGCTGGGCCACCGGTGTTTCAGATGCCAGCAGGATTGCACATGGTGCACAGGTTTCAATGCAGCTTACAGACTGAGACAGACTAGGAAGAAGGAAGAGGCCATCTACTTCTCAAAGAATTGGCCAAGAAAAACCTTATGAATAGCAAACAAACACTGTCTGATACATTACTGGGCAACTTTATGAATAGCCTGGAAGCATTGTCCGACACAGTGCAGGAAGATGAGCTCCTCAGGTCAGAAGGCACTCAAAATAGGACCGGGAAAGAGCTGCCTCATCAGAGTAGAACCAACCTTAATGATATGGATAAAGTAAATCTTTGGGGACCTCCATTTGCTGATGTGGCACAACTCAAATTGAGGAGAAACAGCTACAAACATTCATTATAATGAGAACATGGAATGTACAAAGTATGAATCTAGGAAAATTGGAAGTTGTCAGAAATGAAATGGAACACAAAAAGATTGATATCTTAGGCATTAGTGAGGTGAAATGGACCAATTTTGGCCATTTTGAACCAAACAACCATATGATCTACTATGCCGGGAATGACAATTTGAAGAGGAATGGTGTGGCATTCATCATCACAAAGGATGTTTCAAGATCTGTCCTGAAGTACAATTCTGTCAGTGATAGGATAATATCCATACACTTACAAGGAAGACCTGTTAATACTACTACTATTCAAATTTACGCACCAACCACCAAAGCCAAAGATGAGGAAATAGAAGATTTTTGTCAATGTCTGCAGTCTGAAATTGACCAAACGTGCAATCAAGATGTGTTAATTATCACTGGTGATTGGAATGCACCCTTGGTAACCAACAAAGAAAATTTCCCTCCATATATAAACCTTTCCTTGACTTTTTACAATAACGGACTAAGACAATACTTGTCCTTCTGTGATTGGCTTATTTCACTCAGCATAATGTCCACCAAGTTCACCCACATTATGCAGTGTTTTGCCAATTCTGTTATTCTTTAGGGTTGCATAGTATTCCATCGTGTGTATGTACCATAGTTTGGCTATCCTTTCTTTTGTTGATAGGCACCTAGGTTGTTTCCATCTTTTGGCTGTTGTAAATGGTGTTGCAATGAACATAAACCAAACCACACTCACTGCTGTCAAGTAGGTTATGACTCATAGCAACCCCTCCTTGGGTTTCTGAGTTGGTATCTCTACGGAAGTAGATCGCTCAGTCTTCTTTCTGAGGAATGGCTGGTGGATGTGCATGTATCTGTTCTTGTCCTAGTTCTCACTTCTTTATGATACATACCTAGTAATGGAATGGCTGGGACAAATGGTATTTCTAATTCCAACTTTTTAAGGAATCGCCATACTGCTTACCACAGTGGTTGTACCATTTTACAGTCCCACCAGCAGTGTATGAGAGTCCCAATCTCTCTGCAACCTCGCCAGCATTTGTTATTTTCTGTCTTGTTGAACTTTGCTACTAGTGCTGGGGCCAGATGGTATCTCGTTGTTTTGATTTGCATCTCTCTGATGGCTAATGATTGTAGGCCGCCTGAATATCCTCTTTGATGAATTTTCTATTCATGAACTAACAGTAAATCTGCATTTGTACTATGTATATGTACATCAAAGAAGCCCTGGTGGCACAGTGCTTAAAGCGCTGGCTGCTACTTGGGAGCTACTACGGGAGGAAGATGTGGCAGTCTGCTTCCGAAAGGATTTACAGCCTTGGAAACCCTAGAGGGCACCTGTATGCTGTCCTTACAGGATTGCTGAGTTGGAGTTGATTTGGGGGCAATAGGTTTCATTTTGGTTCTTATCTACATGTAGCATATGAACCTATCCAGTTAGTTTCTGTGATGATGTCATTGGTCTGATTCCACCACCAGAGGGGAAGTGGCCTGGTTCCAGTTTGGAGCTGCCACTCAGACGTACCAGCAGCAGCAGGGGTCATTGGGAGCCTCAGCAGAAGGCAGGGGTGACCTCTACTGACTGAGAGAAGAAACTGCAGGTGCACACTCTCCTTCCTTCTGTTGTTGCCTGCATGGAGTCGATCCTTCCACGGGTTTCCGAGGCAGTATCACTACAGAAGTAGATTGCCCAACCTTCCTTCTGAGGACTGGCTGGTGAGTTTGAACCACTAGCCTTCTAGTTAGCAGTCAAGTGCCTTAGGCACTATGCTACCAGAGCTCCCCTCCTTCCTTCTAGTACAAGGAAATGACCAAGGCACTCAGAGACTTATCTAAGTAAAATATTGCCTGTGGCAATTGGTTTTAAATTGCTGAATGATTTCACAGCTGGTGATGGAAAACTGTGATGGTGAATAGAAACTGCTCATTGGTGCCCCCGGCTCATGCCATTCCAGCCATAACCTAGATATGTAATATCCATGTCTACAAGGTGGGCATCATCACTCCCATGTTACAGTTGAGGAAAATAAGGTTCAGAAAAGCAAAGTGACTTGTTGGAGTTCCCACAGCATAAGCCTCATCACTGTGATTCATTCTCACCCCTTCTGCTCTCCGACACCTAGATGATGCTCCAGCTATTCTGTCACTTTTCAATTCCTCCCACCTCCGGGCCTTTGTGTATGTAGTCCCACCTGCCTAGGATGGTCTTCCAGCTCTCTTAATTCATACTCATAATTTAGGGGCCAGTTCAAACACCACTTCCTCCAGGAAGCCTTCCTTGACTCCCCAGACAAGCTCCAGGCCCCAAAATATTCCATTTTCCCTGCTTGGCATTTAGCACAATTTGCAGTATATACTTGTGTGACCTTTGTTTAGTTAGCATCAGTCTTCTCCACTAGTCTGGGAGCAGAGCAGGCATTGGTTTACATGCAGCACAAGGCCCTGTCTGTGGAGGCGAGAGTGCAAGGAAGACAGGGTGCGGCCTGAACTGAGGCAGATTCCCAGTCAGTGGGGAAAGGCTGGGACTGTGAACCCCTGGTGGGCTATGGAAAGAAAGGGGGTGTCAGGAACCACTCCTGACCTTCAGCCTGGTAAATGGAGTATGGTGGTGCCCATCCCTGAGATGGGGCCACAGATGGTGATGCCAAAAGGCTGTCCCCCACTTCCCAGTCCTACCCCAGCCCTTCTCTCCCCACTCAATGGCCCAGACTTGGCCTCTAGCACCAGACACAGGCCGTGCAGCTCAGCAGCCCAAGCTCGTATTTATTAACCATCACTTTTTCAAATTGTGCACGTATAGAAACAAACAAACATAAACAACAGTAAAACATTCTGACAGGGAGGGCAGGGGAGAAAATGGTGAGGGGGCTCCTGAGGTTAGGAGATTCCAGCTCCTTTTCCCAGTGGCCCAGCCCTGGGCAGCAATGACTCCCCTTACATCCTCCTGCTGCCCTCGCCTCCCTGCCTCAACACAGCATTCTGTGGCTGTGTAGCCCACCTCTGTCAGGGAAGGGGGTTGGCAGGGCCAGGTGTTACACCAGAAGCTGAGAGCAAACCACAGGGTGGGTTTGGACCAGGGCAGAGAGGGGCAGGCACCGAGAGGGGATGCAAGAAAAGGCCATCTGGTCTGGGGACTGGGCAGAAGCCTAACCAACCTCCAACCAGCTCTACTCCTCCTCAGAACTGACTCCCTTGAGTGGTGGGCTGCTGGGGGCTGTACCCCTCACCTCCAGTACAGAGGCTGGGCCAAGGAACTACTGGGCATTCCAGGTGGAGGAAGTGTCACTCAGTACCTAGGACTGACCAAGTGCTCTGTACCTGGCCAGCTGAGGGGCCAAGGTGGGTCAGGATGCGATAATGAAGCTGAGAACAGAGTCCCTCCTCACTCTGCCCAGGGCAACGATGCAGGTGTGTGACCTCAATGTAACTAAAAGGCCACTGAAGTCAGGCCTGGTAGATATATGGTGCTAAGGAAGACAATCAGAGAGGGTCTGACACCCACCTTAACTTACATGAGCAGGAGAGACTGAGCTATACAAGCACTGGGGCAGGGTGTGGAGAAGGGGTCTGAGGGGTGGAGTAGACAAGATCCAGATTGAAGGGAAACTTCCACGCTGGAGGAAGTGGACTTAGTGTTGAGGTGAGTCCTGTCGGTGACAGCACCCGTTCTCTCTGGGCTTATCATGCTGGGCTTGGCTGTGGGTGAGAGGGGAGGAAGAGGGGCCATCCCTAAGAGATGACAGAGAGGCTCACCTTGCCCCTGGCCAGCCCAGCCTGGGTGCAGGGTCTGAAGCCTTCAAAAGTGGACCAAGGAACACAAAGGCTCCCAGCCTTCTTCATCACCCATTCTTGTGCCTCTGAAAAGAGGAGTCCATGGGAATCTGAGACCCCCATGGTGAAAAGCTAACGGAAGAGTCCTCACAGCACCATGGCATGGGACGGCCCTGGCTTCAGAGCTGGGCTGGCACCATTTGTAAACATTAGATGTGGTGATATCTTGGAGGTGGAGGAGGAGAAGGACACCTGCCTGGACCATCAGGTTTGGGGAAAGAGAGAGTGGGGCCCCAAAATTTTGGGAGATGTCTAACCCGGCTCACTGTGGGGGCAGCAGTGGACAAGGCCTAAATATATCCACTTCTGCTGCCTCTGAGCAGGCACTGAGTCCTGGGGTGATGAGCTCAACCCTACCCAGGACAGGTTGCTCTGTGCAAGACAAGTAGCCCTGTGTCCATAGTCTTTCTCTAAAGGGAAGTCAGCTTGGATCCTCCGTTCTAAGACCTACTGCCCCTTTTCACCCATGGGCTCCAGGCATGGTGGAATCAACAGTTAGGGGAGGGGCGAGGCTCCTCTGCGATGCACGACCTGCCACCATCCATGATTCTGCCAGGACTGGGGAGCAGGAAGGGAGCTGGGTTTGAGTTTTCCAGAGGCGTGGGTTCTCATTCACCCAGAACTGTTCTTGAAGGAGGGGGTCTGAATGCCATCCCACCAGTCCAGGGGAATGACGCCAGAGCGGGGGTGATCCCACAGCCCTAGGATATGGGTCTGTGGTTCCAATGGCAAAGACTGTATCTTCCTTTGGGAGACAGTGGTTAGGCCAAGAGATCCACAAAGATGGCGTTGGCTGTGGTCTGGCCGAAGATGAAGGCTCCCAGGGTGACCAAGAGGACTCCGTAACTGACCAGGGCCCACCAGCTGTAGGTCAGAAGGCAAGAAGGGTCTTGGTCAGTCATTCCATCCCATGACTCTGCAGGCTCCAACAGATCAGTTAATTACAGTAATTACTGGTCACTACTACTCCTGTTTGTAGAGCACTTCCTACCTTTCCATTCAAATCTAAGTGGGGGCGGGTGTATGACCCCTTTTCTGTTGTGGCTAGCTGCTGTCAACTGATGGCACCCCATATGTGCAGAGCAGAACTGCTCCATGGGGCTGCCCAGACTGTGATCACCAGGCCTGTCTTCCAAGGTGCCTGTAGGTGAGTTCGAACCACCAACTTGTTGGCCCATAACCGTTTATGGCACCCAGGAGCTCCCTAGTCCCCACAGGTAAGGAGACCAAGACCTAATAGGATGACTTGGCTGGTCACTGCAAACCAAGAACAAAGCTCGGATTAGAATCAAAGCCTCATGGTAGAAAGATGTTCAAGAAAAAGCAGGTCACATGGAATGTGATCCATTTCATTTAAAAAAAAAAAAAAAGCAGACTTTTGCAATACTCAGTATTGGAAGTTAGGATTTTTATTTTTTCTTAAGACTCAACTTCAATTTCTTTTCTACCACTTAGATAATTTCTATTTTCAAAGTGTGCACCCTTGTACTCAACCTCTCCACTATTCAGGAAATGTGCACATTAAAACAATAATGTTTTCCACCCATGAGACTAACAAAACTGAAAGGAAAGGCTCTATGCAGTGCTGGTGGGGTGTGGGGAAAAGGGCTCCTGTTCCTGGCTGCTGGGACTGCAAGGAGGGCTGCCTTTCCAGAGGCAAAGCGACAATGAACCGCACCTCCCTCCTGGGAATCCTCCCACCAGCATCCCTGAGCATGCATCCAGGAAGTGCGAGGTGCGAGAATATTCACATCCAGGGCACTTCCTGCCACAGACTCTCGTGCAGCCATTCCAAAAGATGAAAAGTAGTGGATCTACTTGCCCTGACAAAGAATGATCTCCAAGACACACGATTTGAGTGAGAAGGGGGGAAAAGGAAAACAACCCAAGTGGCAGAGCAGTGTGTCTAGCATGGAATCATTTTAACAAAAACAACTATATAAAAACCCTATTTGTGTGCATGTATTCATAGCTATGTGTGCACAGACATGTATGTACAAGCACGGAATGGTCTAGAAAGGTATGCTCAGACTGGTAATGGAGCTAGCTGTCTTTGGAGAAGAAATGTGGTGGGGAGCAGGGATGGGGTTGGCAATGGCCTTTTACTTTTTTCTCTAAAGTCCTTCTGTAGTGCTTAAGTGGTTACAACTAGTACATAGAACTCACTTAAAAAAGAAAAGAACAAAAAACCTTTACTTTTAAAAAGTATGCAGGTCATGGGGAGTGTACTCAAGACCATGAATAGGGTTGGCAGACAATGTTTCTACAACTGTATTTGTATCTTCTTTAAGAATTCCCAGGTGTATAGTAGAGCTGACAAGGGACAAGGTGGCAGTCACTTCTTGGGCACAGCCAGCTACCCAGAGGGAGTGAGTAGTTGAACCTGTGGGCACGGGTTCATAGTTGCAGGGGACATCAAGCTCAACTGGCATAACATACTACAGAAAACATTGTTCCACCTCCTACTTTGGCAAGTAGCGAGTGGGATCTTAAAATCTTGCAGGCAGCCATGCAGATGCAATGATGGATTTCTCCTTCTCCAGAACAAAGAAGAATGAAGAAAACCACAGATTCATGGAAATAATTAGTCCTAGCGACTGGTACACCATGCGATCTGCAGCCTATACGACTGTGAGACCAGAAGAACTAGATGGTGCCTGGCTACCACTGTCAACCACTCGGAGGGGGATCTATGTAGGAGATCCTGGGTAGAGAGGGAGAACAATGTGGAACAAAACTCAAAATCATTTGGAAAAAAAAAAAGGTGGGGGAATGAGGTTTGCTGGTTTGATAGAGCCTGGTGGAACCCGTGAGACTATGGCCCCTAGCTGCCCTTCAGGTTTCAGGTCTGGAATTGAATCCACACCTGTGTCTCCAGCCAAACAAAAGACAGGCATATGAGCTGAACATTTATCTGAAGTAGATACACTCCTTGGAGAGAACAATCATGGGAGAAAGAAGGGCTACTTATGCACAGGGAGACAGCTCAGGGGGGCAGGAGGGAAGGACACAGGGAAGAGGTAACTATTGGGAGGAAGTAGCAGGGGAGCTTTTGCATTGGGGTAAATTGTAGTCAGTGTCATGAGACAACGTGTGTATGAAATGCTGTGTGGAAAGTGAATTTGCTCTGTAAACTTTCACCCAAATCACAATTAAAAAAAAAAAAAAAAAGTATGCAGGTCTCCTGAGTCCTACCTATTTTAAAGTCCCTCAAGGCCACACCCTGACCCACCTCCAAGGGCTGGGCTCTGCTTTACCTGGCTGGCTTGACTTCCTCCATCTCAGAGAGTTTGGCTTGAATGAGGCACAGTCCTAGAAGACAAGAGGTGGCCAAGAGCTTAGGTGGGCCCCTCACCTCAGGCCCAGCCTCCCCGCAGCCTGCCTAAGAGGCAGAGGTGGTGGAAGGTGAAAGGCCTATACAAACTCTTCCACATACTCCATCTCTGCCTGCCATTCCACACCCAGCTGGAGGCTGGCATCTGCCCCGGTCCTGGGAGTGGCCAGCATCTGACAAGTACCTCTTGGGCTGTAGGCAGGACTGGGAACTATAGGGGCAGGCCCCAGGGCCCCACCCAGTACATTTCTTAGCAGATGTAGCCCCCTTGCTCCAGGCAAAGTAGCTTCATAGCTAGAAGCAAGCTGGGAATGGCTGGGACTCAGGGTCAGGTGACAAGAGACCTGCAGTCCTGAGTTTGCACACAATTACCTGTGAATCTGGTGGCAGACCTATACCTGGAACTCAGGTCTCCCAGCCTCTGTGTCGGGGGGCCACCACAAGACCCTGTTGCCCTTTGGGCTGTAATGGGCTGAACCAGCCAGTTACCGGTCAGTCAAGGTCAGGGGGCAGTAGATACCTGAATAAAGTGGGTGTGGATCCAGACACCACACTCAGCGTCCGAGATGGTTTTGTGACTTGGTGGCTGTGTATGTTAACCTCCGGGCCAGTTTGTTACCCACTCTGAACCTCAGTTCCCTCATCAGTATAATGGAGAGGACCACCACCCTTCCTTTGCAGGAGCTAATACTTGGGTGGGGGCTGACGCCAAGCCTGGGGTGGGGTGACCTGTAAATGCCAGTGCTCACTCTCTAGGCAGGCTTTGAACAAGTGGGGAGCGGAGGCTGGGGACATCCTGGGAGTTAGTGCTATGGGGACAAGAAGGGGGGCCTGGGGTGCTCACCTGGGAAGACGAAGATGAAGCAGGCGGCCAGGCCTCCAACGACCGAGATGACCTTGCCGATGTCTGGGATGAAGAGCGCCAGAAGCAGGGTGAGCAGAAACCAGACGAGCGTCTGCAGCACTCGCCGCCGCCGCTCCCGCCCCACGTCCTCCTCCAACGGCATCCCCTGGTAGCGCAGCCACAGGCCCTCAACCACAGCCCTGCCCACACAGACAGGACGGGGCTCAGATGCTCAGTCCCAGCCCAGCTCAAACAAGCCAGACCCCCAGCTGAAGAGATTGTGGGTAAGGGGCTCTGCTCCCTAAGTCTCAGTTTCTAATTCTGTAAAATGGGTCTAACCGCTCTTGCCTCCAGGTTGCCATGGTGATTGGATGAGCTGTCAAATGCAAAAGGCTTGGTGTCTTGCCTCACCACATGGGAACTGATACTATTATTCTCCTTAAGAGGAAGGGTACCCAGAAGGTGGGTGTTCAATCAAAGCTCAGGAAAGGATCTGCATGATCTTGGAAGACTCACAGAACGTTCTGGTGACCCAGGGACAAAGCGGGCGTCTCAGAAACAGGAACTTGGGGACCCATCCTAGGCACTGACACTCTTCCATGGGGTTCAGTCTCTCTTTCTACCAAAGGCTCCACCCAAGGTCAAAGGGCCACGTTCAAGGGGCTCCTGGGGAGAGGGTGCACTTGAGAGAGGGGGGAGGGGGCTCACCGGCCACAGAAGTGCAGGATGGGGTAGGAGGTGAGCACGCTAAGGATGATGAAGGCTCGGGCCACGGCCACAGCCATGTCCTCGGAGGGGTAGGACAGGAGCACATCGGGGTCCACAGCAGCTCCAAAGGTCAGGAAGCCACAGATGCCTGAGGGTGGGGAGAAGAGGGCAGAGGAGGGGCTGTCTAGTCCTCAGTGCAACAGCGGACAGGGAGGATGCTGGAGCAGCTCCAGAGAGGCACAAGGTGACCAGACACTGGCCTTCCCTGACATCTCCCTCCCCCTTGCTGAATGCTGTCTGGCCACACTGCCGTCTTTCTCATCGTGAACTTGCCTAGCTCATTCCTGCCTCACAACCTCTGCCCTAACCGTTCTGTGTCCCCTAGATCTTCATGCTGCCATCTCTTCCTCATTCAGGTCTCAGTTTAGATAGGTGTTCTCTCCTCAGAGAATGGCTCCTGCTCGGCCCATCTCAAATAACCCCCATCTCCAGCCACTCCATTATTCTGTTTCTTCATAGCACTCATCTCTCTCTGAAATTTTTTTTTACTTGTTTATTGACTGTCTCGACTGTCTCCCCAACCAGAACACAAGTCCCAGGAGATCAGGGACTCTGTGTCTCTTGTTTCTTGCTCTCTTCACAGGCAGCCCTGAGGACTCTCTGGAAGAACGCAGGCTACAGGGACTTTCTTCCTGACCTTCTAGTTCTGCTCCCTCATCCAGACCACTCTCCACACACCAGCCAAGGCCATCTTTTGCTGAGCCACTCCTCTGCTAAAAAGCTTCCTTTCCTGGCTCCCAACAAGTCCTCAAGGCTCAACAGAATCTGGCCTCTTATTGCCCATCCCACCTCCCTGCCTGCCCCTGGCCCCAGCTCACCCCCTCCAGCCACTCGGACCTTCTTTCTCTTCCTGTCTCAAGGACTTTCTGGCTGCTCTGCCTGGAATGCTCCTGCTCAGGTCTTTCTATTCTGGTTCCTTGTCACCACATGGGCCTCCTCAAATATCATCGCCTCAGAGAAGGGCCTTCTGTGAAATTCCCTCCCCTCCAAGTCACACTCACACCTTCACCCTTTCACTGACCTCAAAGCCCACACCACTCTCTGGAACCCCTTATCGAGTCCTGATTGTTTAACTTCCGTATGCCTGTCTCCTCATCTAGACTAACTTCTGTGAGGGCAGCACCAGGCCTATTTCATCTCTACTCTGTCCTCTGTGCCAAGAACAGCAGTGCTTATGAGGCACCACCTTAGAGCTGTTCAATGAATCACTCTCTTCTTGGTGTGAGGAGGCCCACAGGAGCTCAAGTTCAAGCCAATGCCTGTTCCCAGGAAAACGGGGCTGGAGGCCATGGGGGCTCAAGGGAAAGTGGGAGGACTCCAGGCCTGGCCTTCAAAGGGAGTACTCACCTGTGCCCATGTAGACAGCAAGGGCTATGACCATGGCAGCCGTCACCACCCCACCCCAAGTCTTCACCTCGGGCCGCTGCATACTGTTGAAGACTGGCACACTGCTCACATGGCACTGTCGGGATGAAGGGCGTAGTCAAGTCAGGGAAGTGACTTTACTCATTTCCAGAGGGAGGTATTTTGGGGACAAAGACCGAAGGGACAAGGGGGCAAGTCCTGGGGCCCCTACTCCCTCCTTCTTCCCAAGACTCCTCCTATCTTGCCTGGAATGTGGGTTGTATCCCTGGTGAGGGGTGAGTTAAGGGGATGGTGGGGACCTTGTAACTGGTACCTGAAATCCAAAGCAGATGGTGGGCATGGCATTGAACACGGCTACCCAGGAGGCTGGCCTGTGGGCACACAAGGTGCTGCTGCCTGTGCAGCCCTCACCGCCCCCAACCTGCCCCCGGCCCCCAACCTGCCCCAGAGCCCCACTCCTCACTTAGCCCACATGGCCTCCACCATGCAGCATCTGTACATTCAACCCACTGAAGTCTGGGAAAGGGGAGAGGAGACGTCTCTGTCTCACAGGTCAGTAAACTGAGGCTTTGAGAGCCCTCTGGGACCAGAACCCAGAATTCTTGGTTCTTAGACTGGGTTTCTGCTTTTCTGGTTTGTTCCTTTTAAAAAAGGAAACTTTCTCAACTGAGTCAGCAAATTCACCTATGTGTAGAAGATACAGAAATCGCAGATGAGTGTAAACAGGTAAAACGTTCAATTACATGTTGGCTGCCTCCCATGTTGGTTCATGACCCTGGTTTTCACTCTTCCCTTCAGTAAAATGAGATCAGGACCTCTGGCCTCCTTCCTACAAGCCTTGGGAAGAGTACCTGGGTAGCCTTTTTTTGTTTTTTTTTCCCCTGGGAAAGTTTTTTTTTAAATTTTATAATGTGACGTGGGTGAAAGTTTACAGAGCAAATCCATTTTCCACACAGCAGTTCATACACATTTTGTTTCATGACATTGACTGCAATTCCCCAAAATGTACCAGCTTTCTTCATGCTCCCTCCCTGTAGTTACCTCTTCCCTGTGTCCTTGCCTGTGTGTTCCTGCCCCCTAAGCTGTCTCCCTGTGCCAATGCTATCCTTCTGTCTTCCCATGACTGATCGTTCTAAGGAGTGTATCTACCTGATGTAAATGTTCACCCTTTATGCCTATTGTTTGGCTGGAAGCCATGGGAGTGAGTTCAATTACAGACTTAAGGGTAACTAGGGGCCATAGTCTTGGGCCTGGGTGGCCTTCTGACGCTCGACCCTATACCTCCTGGGGCCCAAGTAGCTGGCTTCTACTCCAGTGTTTCCTGGGGGCCCCACCTACCTGGTCAGGATGTCCCTGGGGGTCATCTCTTTATCTGGCCAGAAGTATTTGATGATGATGATGGCGGTGACGTACCAGGTGCCCACGACGCTCAAGAAGCTGCCAGGAAGGAGAGGTTGAGCATCCTCCTCCCTCAGCCACCTCTTCTCTGGTCACATCCCTAGGGGCAGCCACATTCAGCTCCAGTGACTGTGTCTGCTGAACTAATTGGGAGACTATTCCAATCAAATGCCTGAGAAATAAGTTTTGGAGAAACCTGCCACAGCTAGGAGGAAGCTGAACAGCCAACAGAGGGCCAGACTGATGTTTCTGGGCATAAGGAAACATGCTGGTTCAGGTTCAATCAAAGCAGCCGTCAGGGTGAGGGCTGTGAGGAGGGCATCTCTGAGCCTGGCCTTTGAGAACCACGACGCTGGGATCAAAGGGTGAGTCCAAACACTGGCCGGTCAGCATTAAAGGGGCCTTTGCAACAATGAGTGTGGCCCGTTCATTTACAGGTTGGGAAATGGCCTAGAGTGAGGAAGAAGAGCCAGGAATCTTTCAGAGAATCTTTCCAGAAACTAAGCCAGGTGGCCAATCCTCTCCCTTTAGAAGCTGTGTGTAAGATGCTGCCAAGTGACAATCTCAAACGACCAAAAACCTCATCCTCCCAGAAGACAGGTCTGGTGATCTCTTTCTGAAAACTGTATGGAGTACAAACAGAAAGAAGGAAACCAGAGATTCCAAGAAGGAACTAGTCTGTGGGACTGACCATCTACATGGACCATGGCCTCATCCACCCTGAAACCAGAAGAACCAGACAATGCCTGGCTACCACTACCAATTTCTCTGACCAGGGACACAACAGATGTTCCTGGATAGAGTGGGAGAAAAATGTAGAACAAAACTCAAATTCTTAAAAAAAAAGGCTAGACTTACTGGACCAATTGAAACTAGAGGAAGCCCTGAGACTGTCACGTGGAGACACCCTTTACACTCTGAACTGAAACCACTCCCAGAGGGCACCTTTCAGCTAAGGAGAAGACTGGCTCATGAAACAAGCAATGTCACCCATTAGTAATGGCTTCATTCTAAAAAAATCATCTATGTGAGACTAAA